CAGTGCTTGAGAACAACAGGCCCATAAATCTTATATGTAATGAGGAAACGCAGGCATCCCAGAGAAAATAATCTAAAACATAATCACACATGATAAATTTACCTAAACTCTCATCAGGCTGGTGTATTAACTCTGCTGCATCTACTGAATTGAGGGCCTTGCCAGCCCTCCATGGATGTTGCTTGTGGACAACGTATCATAGAAATAGTTTCTCAGCCTACTGAGACTATAATTTCAGTTTTAAAATAGCTTAAACTCTAGAACAACCGGTAGCAAACTAAACTGGTTCCATTCAGTGGTGATGTTCGCTGTTGTCTAAATAAACATAACTAAGTGACAAATTTTCTTACTTTATTCAAAAGGAAAAGAGGAGATACGAAATATCAACCCCTTACTTTTACACAGAAAGATCTACCATCAAATACCTCTTAAGATGATAAAAATACACCACAAAAACTCATCCATACAGGGGCTAGCCCAGTGGTGCAGTGGTTAAGTTTGCACATTCTGCTTTGGCAGCCTGGGTTCGCCGGTTCGGATCCCGGGTGTGGACATACGCAGCGCTTGTCAAGCCATGCAGTGGCAGGCGTCCCACATATAAAGTAGAGGAAGACGAGCACAGACGTTAGCTCAGGGCCAGTCTTCCTCAGCAAATGAAGAAGACTGGTGGCAGATGTTAGTCAGGGCTAATCTTCCTCAAAAAAAAAAAAAAACTCATCCATAGGGATAGAAAGCAGGACAGTGGTTGCCTAGAGTCACAGGGGTGAAGGGTGGTTGATGGACTGTAGGGGGCACATGGGAACTTTGGGGGTGTTAGAAGTGTTCTATATCTTGATGGCAGTGGGAACATGGCTATACACAATTATCAAAACTCATTGAGCTATATGTTTAAAAAGTGGATTTTTTTAAAAACGTGCCGCAATTCACATTTCCTATCAGTTGTCAACCTCTTTTTTTCCAGTACCATGGAGGAAGAAACAAACGGTTTTGATAATGACAGCCTTCTTTGTTGGGAAGAAGAGTTCTTTACCCTCCAAATCAAACACGATGTTGGTGCTGATCTTCGTCTAAATGTTCATCCACCAACACACCTCGCCAACATCAGTGACGTTTATTCCTACTTGAGTAAATTCCAGGAGTTCAACAACCAATAAGGTTCATTTTTAGGTATAAAAGTGAAGAAGGGGCTTAAAAACCTATCTTTGTTTAAGAGGTGAGCATTAGAAAGTATATAATGTTCTTTGATACTAAGGTTCAGTTGGTATGTCAATAATTTTTATGATCCTGAAGGTTTTAATTTTTAAGGACTTAAATCTGAATGGTGAACAGTAATCTGGTTTTCGGTAACATTCTCCGTCAAAGTCACCAAGCACCTGGTCTACGCTTAGGCCACAATAAGTTCAGCTGCCAAGAATAAAACAAGTTTTATTTCTAAAAATAAGATGAAAACATATTTATTTCTCAGCCTCCTATGCCATTTCTGCTAAAAAGCAACTTTAACCATGGATATCAGCACAGACTTCAATGTCCAGCTCATTAGGGAACATATTTAGGACGGGGGACCCAAGCTCATCATTAGACGTTAGAATGAATGCATATGACAGGTGCAGTTCAGGAGGAACTAGAGGATATGTGCTCTGCTCCACCTGCTCTGCTCCAGCACCACTCCCTGACCCTTGACAACCACGACTAAAGTTTCTCCAAGCAGCTTCCTCGTTTCCCGGATGCCGACTGCTACTTTGACTTGCTTCTTGACCAGCGTAAGGACTGCTTGATGGAATAAGACTGCAGGACTGCACTCTCCGAGGCCAAAACCCCAAAAATAGAGACAGTCATGAGACAGCATGAAGCTGTCGGAGAAGCAGCACTGACTGAGGGTTTCTCTGAATTTCACTCTCTCCTTAAAATCAAAGGACAATTTACATTAGAGCAAAATTAGAAACATTTCAGAAATCTGTCTCCCATCAATTCCATGAGAAAACAGTTAACAGGTGACAGAATGTGACAGATATATACACGGTATGAGATATTGTGATGGGGCCACAGAAGGAGGTTGTGGAATCCAGATTTCCATGTAGGGCAGGAATCACCCAGAACATCCCTGACAGAGAGCTTCTGCATGAACACTTTTGGGGACAGAAATTCACCAATTCGCAAGGCACTTGGTTCGCAGCTGGCAAGTTTACTGTTTAGGAGGTTTTCCCTTTTAGTGAGCTGAAATAGATCCATCAAAGCCATCTTCTCTAGGGTCAACTTTTCTTCTGCAGCAACACAAACATATTTCAATATCCTCCTAACAGTCCTTGAAACATTGAAGACTACGATGATATCCCCTAAGGGCTCTCCTTTCTAGGCCGAGAACGTCTTTTTAAAAATGGGTTACTTAACTTCCTGATCCCCCTTCACAGGACATGTCTGTCAGTCAGTGGCCTCTGGATCCAAACACCACTGGCACTTACTGAGTTTAGGGACACTCAAACTCTTCTACAAATGACCTGTTTTCAAGCCATAATCCCTCTGTCCTATACTTGAAGAACTGAGTCATCTCTGTGAAATTCTCATTTTGTCAGTTTCTGCCTGTCAGTCAAGCTCACTCAGATTGTCTTTGACTCATGATTCTGTAAGCCAATGACTGAGATATCCATTCCAGCTTTCTGTAATATGCCAACCTAAAAACCATTACGTTAGCTATCTTCTTTCAAGTCACTGATAGAAATGGTAAAGGGGAGAAAGCCAAAAACAGAGCTACTCCTGATGAGTCCAAGGATAGAGACACAGATTACTGAAGACTTAGGGTAGGAAGGTAGGGATTGCAGTCCATAACTCTGGCACTTATCAACTCTGCAAGCTTGGAAAAATTAATTAACCTCTCTGAGCCTGTTTCTTCATCTATACAATGACATTAATATCCTCTAATAGGATAGAGATGATTGAAAATGCATCCTACACATAATACATGTTCAGTAAATGCATTTTGAACAGATGATAAGCATTTTGTAAAGGATGAAAGGTCATAAAACTATAATGCAATATGCTTAATTGTCTCTAGTTTTTACATCCAAAAATCATGATGTTAAGTCAATTGCTTAAGGACAACTATACTTTTCGAAGGGGCATTTCAGGTTACTAAGATAATTAGTAAAACAATATTGTTATTATAGTGCTCCCTTTCTTTAATCACCTTTTGTGAATATTTTTTACTTTCTTATAGGCTAAATAATACCACTAATAGGTTGTTTTTTTAAGGTATGCTTTTTGGTGAGGAAGATTGGCCCTGGCCTGACATCTGTTGCCAATCTTCCTCTTTATTTTATTTTATTTTTCTCCCCAAAGCCCCAGTGGATAGTTGTATATCCTAGTTGTCGGTCATTCTAGTTCTACGTAGGATGCTGCCTCAGTGTGGCTTGATGAGCAGTGTGTAGGTCCATGCCCAGGATCCAAACCAGTGAACCCCGGGCCTCTGACATGAAGCTTGTGAACTTAACCACCTGGCCGTTGGGCCGGCCCCCAATGGATTTTTTTCATAGTTCTTATTTTGTAACTTATCTTAATTAGCACATTGCCCTGCCTGCTCTCCAAGGCCTTCACCTGTTCCAAATCATGAAACGTGTTTGACTGTGCTCTCTCCTGAGAAGGGAACAAGTCTGATTTAGCCTGATTTGGTCTGACATCCACTCCCTTTCCAATCTGTCCCCAGCTACAATCGCTGCATCCCAGGTGTCTCCTGCTCACCTGCAGCTCCACCAGATGACCTGCGGATGCCCCTGGTGCCAACAACTCTCTGCCTAGAAGACACACCTTCCACCCAGACTCCCACAGCACCTTCGTGGCTCATCCAGGCCTCTCCTCCAGGAAGCCCTGCACCCCTGTGTTTTTCCCCATCAGAGCACTAGTCACGCTAGGTCACAAGAGTCCACCAGACTGCTCCTTCAGAGCAGAAGCCATTTGTATTCATGGAACAAGAAGCTTGGTACAAGGTATGTTTCCCCGTGTTGGCTGAATGAACAGCTCAGAGCTAGAGACACCAGACACCTAGGGCATTAGGGCTCTGAACACAACGGAAGAACGCCTTCCCTGATCCGCACGGACATCCGGCTTCTACACCAGTCCTGCACTTCTCATCATGGCCGGGGTCCTCTGTACTGAGAGGATTCACTTGCTACTGACTCTTTTGAATATATCATCAACTCATATTGCTTGACTGGTTTGAGTTCTTCTCCCACTCGAATTTTTTCGAGAAGCTTTGAGCCTTCTGAAATGACTTACCTAGCTAGGGTTAGTCAGTCTGGCTACTGGAACGAAAATGTTGTGTGGGTTTTTTTTTTTTTTTTTTTTTAAAGATTGGCACCTGGGCTAACAACTGTTGCCAATCTTTTTTTTTAAAGATTGGCACCTGAGCTAACAACTGTTGCCAATCTTTTTTTTTTTTTTTCCTGCTTTACCTCCCCAAACCCCCCTGTACATAGTTGTATATCTTAGTTGCAGGTCCTTCTAGTTGTGGGATGTGGGATGCTGCCTCAACGTGGCCTGACAAGCGGTGCCATGTCCGCGCCCAGGATCCGAACCCCGAGCCCCTGCAGCTGAGAGCGCGAACTTCACCACTCCGCCATGGAGCCGGCCCCTGGGTGGGCCTTAATTAACATAAATGAAACAATGAAAACTGTTTAGACGGTATGCATTATTCCCACCTTCCCCCCACCCCCCAACCTCACCAAAAGTAAAGCAGAGATCCTGTTTGTTTTTCCTTGCTTTCCTAATTATTCACAGAAATAGTAATGCCTCGCCATTGTTGACCCCTCCAATTCATCTGCTACTTCTTTTAACTGGCCTCTTTGATTTGGCCCAACCCACCGACATTAGCCAAAGGAACTCTTGGGACTAGAAAGGGCTAAATATAAATACCTGCTTGCCCAAACTGCTCCCCAAATGTTTCCCATTACTGGAGCTTCGAGCGCAAGCACACGTCCAAGACAGCAATCACAACATCAAATAAGGCCAAGATGACCCCCGCCCGTCCGGCCCCCGACGTCCCAATCAGTCACCACCTCCCTGAAGGAAAACAAACCGGCCCCAGGCGCATCCCTCCACGTGCAGCGCGCCACTGCGGCCAGGCGAAGGCCGACGCCGCGTCTCCCCGCCTGTCGCCCCGACGCGCGGCCCCACTATTGCGCGCGCCCTCCAGGTGGCTCCGCGTCCCCGGGGGCGGGGGCAGCGCCGGGAGGCGGCCTCGGCGGCGGCGGGCTGGGGCGCTCGGTCGCTCACTCGCTCGCTCGGGGTCGGGGCCCCGCGGCGGCTGCGCCCCCTCCGCCGCGCCCCGGGTGCCGATCCGCCGCCTTCCTTCCCGGGGAGCGGGGGTGAGGGGAGGGGCCGGCGCTCCTGGCCGCTGCCTCGGAGCCCAAGGGTCCTATTTCGTTTCCCCACCGTCTCCTCGTCCCCGCAGCCCGACCAGAGGCCCGAGCGGCCCGGTCAGGGACGAGAGCGCGGCCGCCGCGGGCGAGGGTGGGAGAGCGCGCGCGAGGGCAGGGTGGCCGGCGACAGGGGCCCGGCGGCCGGACTTACTCGGGTCACAACTTCGGCGACGCGGGGCGGAGGAACCGGTTCTTCCAAGACCAACCCGAAATGGGTAACGGAGAGGCCAGGGCAGCGCTAAGAGGGGTTCTGGCTCGGTGTTTAGGGCCAAACTGCTCTGGCTTCCAGAAATTCGAGCCAGGGGTGGCTTTTTTCTTTCTTTCCTTCTTCAACGCGCCTGTGCCTCCGGGTTGAGGGGCGCCCTTTGCGCGCCTCTCAGCGCGCAGCGACACCAAGGCCGGCGCTGGCGAGGGAGCCCTCTTCCCAGCACCCCAGATCTCCCCAGGACCCCTTCCCGGCCCCTGCCGCCCCCTCCCTGCGCCTCGACTCCCTTCCACGCCCGAGCGAAGCCTGGGCCTGCGGCGCACGCCCCGCGGGGTGTCTAGGACTCCTGGCCCCTGCAGTGTTTAAACTGAGGGTGGTGGGGTTTGCTCTGTCAACATGGGGGGAGCTAGGTGTGCATGAGATGGACCTGACGGGAAGGGCGGCTGGAATGACATGGCGATTTTTTTTCTGGTGGGGTGGGGAAGATTTAAAGGAATAAACAGTCAGACTGAAACTTACTAAAACATCCAGGATTCAAACAATTTTATAAGTGGTCTTAAAAGTATGTACTTTAGCTTCTTATAGTTAGGGAAACTGAGGCACAGAGCGGTAAATGGATTACCCAAATCCTGCCGGGGAGGCTGGACTAAATGTCCACGTCTAGCCCAGGATCCTTATAAATTTTTGCCTTTCTCGGCATCAGAGAACCCTTTGGGAGGGTAGAGGGAGGTTTTTGTAATTCCCAGGTCCCTCTGCATCTGTGACTTAATGGGGGCTGGAGAGAATCTTGATTCGACCTGTAAAGTATTTCAGCATTGGATGAAGCATCCATTACAGGCCAGTAATCTGAGCTACTCCTGCTCTGGAAACTTCCTCTTACTTGATTAGGGAATCCATTCACAGGCAGTGAAAGATATGCAAATAGCTTGATGATTTGCTCTTATAAGGACTCATCGCTTCTCAGTGAACATTAATATGTTTACACTTCTCTCTCCCTCTCAAGTGAAAACCCTCCCCCACTCCCACTCGATTATTCACATCAAATGAGATAATGTAAGCAGAAGGGCCTTGGAAAATAGAAAGCATGGCATGAATACGGGTATTATTATACACACTCTTTCAAAATCGTCTAGATTCACACGCTTTACTGTTGTTTCTATCAGTCAACGAGTATCTGTTGACTTGTACTAGATACCATGAAGTTAGAGTCAGAACAATGAGACCTAATCCTTCACCTTCAAAGACCACAGATTATAGATTCTGAGATAAGACCAATACACAGGAAATCATTAGAAATCTACACGAAGACTGATTTGGGGAAACTAAGCTGATGGATGTTTCTATGTATGCAGACCCAGAAACTTTCCCAAATAGGCCATGTATATTGGGTGAGAAGGAATTCTTGTAGAAGTCAATGCATTAGTAAATTCTTAACCCAATAACACCCAACACCTTGTCCAAATAGAAATATTAACCAAATTAGCAGGTAGATGAGGATGGCTTTGCTTTTTTGAATCTATTGCTTATCCCTTCTTCCTAGTCATAAATATAAAGAATTTCGCAACATAAAAAAGCAAATCCAGGGTCTTTGAGAACTTAGGTGATCATAAGTTTTATTTAAAGAGGGAGCAACAATAACCCCAAACTACCAAATATAAGTGTCTGCTAAGAACTCACCAAAGGCAATTGAAGTTTCTTCTGTCAAAGTCTCCGGGCATGGTCTTTATTTGAAAATCGTATTTGAAAAATCAATCTTCATAATTCAGAAGTAACATATAGTTTAAAATTTTTATGTATTAATACAAGGGGTCTTGATCCTTTATCCTGCTATTTCCTTAAAAAAATAATACAGAACAACTCTCAACCCAAATACCCAACCATTTTCTTTTTTTAACTTCTTGAAACCTAGATTCATTTGGCCTTTGGAGAAAAATGTTCTAAATTTTGAACCAGTCCCTGGATTTGAAGGTGTGGAGAATTATTTCATTGCTGTTCTTTCAGAAATGGCATGTGTTTAAAATATTGGCAGTACTAAATTCAAAAGATAGTCATACTCAGAATTTGCTATTAAGAGACGTTGTTATTTGGGCAAAGTACATTTATTTGAGCACAGTATACAAATTCTTCATATTCTCCAAGACGGGAGTAGCGGGAGCCAATTTATCGAGTATAATGTATTCCAGACACTTGCTGGAATAAACAATGCTCTTGAGCCCCTCAGATGCACAGCCAATAGGGAGCTGTTGACTACTTGAGGTTTTTACACATCTCTCAGCCAAATCAGAAATCCAAATCCCAAATCAGTCACAGGCACACAGTGTGGATTTATAGTCCTGCCTGAGCATAGGGTCACAGTCTGCAAATACCACCCAAGTTAGGTTTATCTTTGACATAAAATTTACTTAATTTTTTTTCATTTGACATGAATGCAAGTATGAATAAAATCTCCAATAAAAATTTAAAGGTCTTTTGCAACACCAAGCCAAAACCCAATAAAATATATATTCATAATTGTCCATTTGAGAATATATGAGTTTATATTCATCTATAGATGTATATGTAGATATATTTATCTGTAGAATTTCCATGTGAGTAACATGAACATTTACTAAATGCCATAAGGACTCAATTACGTATCTTTTGGTTTATATTGGACTTAGAGCATTCAGCTGTTTATGTCATAAAATGTTAATCCTAACTACTATCCTAACCTACATTATGGACAGTAAAGAAATGACAAAGTTCTTTGCACGTGAAGGCAGAAAAATTGCTTAAGTATAGAGTTATACCCTGGCTTATGGCATAAACACAGAACACATGTGATAGAAAAGTGCATTTAAATTCGGGTCCTGTTAGAACTCAACTACAGCTCCACAGAAGAGAGAGGGCAAAAATCAACATGAGTTTTGTAGTTCTTTGAGCATTTGTATTCTGTCTACACTGGCAGGTTAGGTATGTTATGAGCAATCCTGATTCAAAAGAAATTTTTGCCTCTCCCTCTCTCACACACATTTCAAAAATTCTTTTATTATATAATTTGGCAATGTAATTTCATATAGAAAAACTTGTCAAGTGTACATAATCGTTTTCCATAAGAAAGAGGGAGAAGATCCAGTCCGCTAGCTTAGACCAAGATTGACTCCTGCGCATCAGTGGGAGAAGGGTAGACCATATGGGAACAGCTAAGAGTGAAGCCAACTCTCCAGGTGTGAGTTGGGAACTGTCTTATGTACCGTTTATTTAAAGAAACTTTTAATGGACTGATCATTTTTTCCCAAGACTGGCCCCCCTCCTTTCACTTACCTAATACTGTTAGGAATCATGATAACTGCTTCAGTGTAGATTGCATCTGGTTAGAGTGCATTAATCGAAAGCACTAGAACAGTAATAATGACAAAAGCTATGTATGAGACTAAAGCCATGGCCCCTATGCTCTAGGACCACTATGTTATAAAAAATACATGTACTTTTTAGTCTGCTGGAATATCCTGTAATCTTAAAGTTAATTTCTATGTCTATTCCTCCCCTAAAAAATGTATGAGGTAAACCAGAGAGAAGATTACTCATTAGACAGGAACTTATTACATGTGCCATAAATTTTGACTTTTACATCCAATTTCTTGTTACATTAGGATTGGTTTTCTAAACTATTTATTGTTTGACTAACGTTAGAAAATAGATTTCCCCCTTACAGTCTCGCCTTATCAAGGCTTCTAAAGGACATCACTGAATTCCTTAATCATGTAGCGATTTCGGAGTCATGCAGTAGAAGATCTGGGGTGAGGGAACAAGCTGACTTTTATCTTTATGCATTTATAACTTAGGAGATCAAGTGAGGGATGCAGCACTAGGATTCTTGGCCAGTTTTTCACTAAAACAAAGACTTAAGGTTAATTTTTCAAATGATGTTTTACCCATATCCTGTGTCTCATTAATAATTACTATGGTAAGCTTTGTTGTACATTTGGTTAAAGAAAAAAACCTGTTCTGTTGATCTTTCCTTTTAGGTGAGTCTTCCAAAGTCACTGAGAAGCAATTTTTCTGCATATTTAATCTAATTTGCCTAATTTTTCTTTTCTTATCATTTTCTTCTCTTGGCATTTATATGCTTTTCATTGTCAACTACTGTTATAGGTGGAACTTTCCTGAGCTTCCAGTTTGCTTTTATCCAGATCATTCTACCTAGTAACATATCCATTTGTGAGCTGCCCTTACCTTTATAAAGAGATGATATCTAACAAGTGCTTGGGGCAGTATGACTCCTCAATGTGGCAGTCACTTGCTCCTCCCCCCACCTCAAAGGCAGTGGCTTGCTTGTTCTTTTTACATTTCTATAATATCATATGACAAACAAGCTTCAGATTTACTCTTCTTTCTCACAACTAGGAAATTTTAAAATAGCACCTTTTCCTCCAAGAATAAAATTGCAGGTGCATTTTTAAAAATATCCAACATAATTGCTCTTCCAGTAGAGTTTAGAACAGAACTGCATGCTCCATAAGTAAACTCTAATGGCCAGCAGAACGGAAATATCTGGGAGCTTGACTCATGAAGAGTGTGGAGCTGGACCTCAGGTTTATGACTTTTAGATTATATTTCCCCAGACATACGACTTGTGCTTATCTAGGTTAAATCACATTTGCTATTTCCTGACCATGTTTTTGGCAGATAGCTGATAGTACTTTTGTTGACTTTTGGTTTATAGTTGTAAAGGACTGTTAAACTTAAAAAAAAAAAAAATCTATTCCATTTGTGAGTTCCATCATCATGCAAAAACAAACCTAAACAGGTAGATGCTTATTTCAGAAAGCCCAGGATGAGAAAGCTTGGATTTATTGAAGAGATGTAACAAAAAAGATATATTCTCTAAAAGCATAGATTGTGGACTGAGGCCCGTTTAGGTGGAACAATCAGCTCTCTATTGGCCAACAATAAGCCTGAAGAATAACACCAGAGGTAGCTATAAAGATAATTTTCAAACTGCCTTGCCTTGCATGCCAAACCAAGCACCATCTAAGTGCCAAAATTAGTACCAGAGGAGTAGTGGGAAGGAGAAAGCAAACAATCCATTGTTCGTTTGATAAGCATAAAATATTTCGAATGAGGAAAATTATGTTTCCAACATTGTAATTGTCTTTATTTCTTAACATGTAACAAGAGGCACTGAAGAGCTGTTCTTGGTAATGAGAACCTAATGTGTCCCTGAATATTAGTCAGATAGTCAGTGAGCTGAGTTGCTGGTGGGGGTTGACTTCCTTTGTTTCTGTTTTTGTCTGTTTTTTTCTTTGTTTTGTTTTATACTTTGCTTCCATGTAGTTTCTTCTCTAACATCAGACATTCTGTTTGCCTGCTTTGTTTTGTTAGGGTGATTCTATTTTATCAAGCAAATGTTTGATAGCTTCAGCTATCCTTTAAGGAAGAAAACTGAAAATTGCTTTATGCAGCATTTAAACCAGTGCTTTTGAATGATATTAAATCTATATAGTAACTGAATCATAGCCAGAAACCATTATATCTATGGTGAGGATGAAAGGAGGGAATCCAACAAATAAATTTTGTCATTCACTTTTCAGAACACAGGGCATGCTAACAGCTAATAACCATATTACTCTGAAATCTTTGTCCCAGAATTTCATTTTTTAATTTGCTGTAAATCCTGAAGTCAATGGCTGGCCCAATAATTTGCCTAAGTCTAACATGCTATAGATATTTCCCTTCACATCATGGAATTTATTTATATTTGCAAAAGGAAAACTCAGATCACTTCACAATCAGCTAAGTAAACCACTGGTGATCAGCCTGGGGCAAAATGTTTGTTGGACCGAAAAAGGAGTTAGTCTTCCACCTATAAGAAAACAAGACCCCTGTGGTCACTGCAGTGAGACCATTTACAGCCATTTTTAATCTTTGAAGTTACGTGAAATTTCTTAGCAGTCTCAAGTCCCTAATTCAATAGGTTTGAGTGTCCTTCCAGCAACACGGGGAATTCTTAAGGGCAATCAGATACAATGACGTCGACAGAGGCGAAACGCACTGTGCGTTTACCTGTACTCTGCGCTGTTGGAAGTGGATTTCCAGTGAGACCAGGCATGGGGGTCGGGGTGGGGGGGAGTATGAATGAATGTTGAAAATTAAACGTGAGCAAGAAATGCTGATCAGACTGTTTATCTCGGAAAGAGGTGTTCACCGTTTAAGAAGTACTGCGAATGTGACCGCAGGGCTGAAATGTGGAGGACTCATTTGATGTGAAAATTCAGCTAGGAAGCTTGAGAAGAGAGAGAGACAGACAGAAAGACAGACCGAGAGAGAGACTCCGAGAGTCTGGGGTCGCGCGCGGGTCTGTGGCGACGTGGGAGGAATCGCACGACCAAAGACTATGAAAAGGCTTGAGCCTCGTTCAGATAGTTAAGCGAAATTCACCTCAGGCAGGAGGGTTTTCTTTGTCGATTTCGCCTTCACGCTACGGAAGTCTAGCTTCTTTCGCAAGACTCGTCTTTTTCCTCCAGCCCGGGACGCTGGCACATTTTGATGCAGTCTCAGAAAAGCCGAGAAGACTCTGGGTTGCTGGTACTGTGTGCAGGCGCGTCCGCTCGCTCTGCCTGGTGGCTCTGCAATTCGATTTCAGGCCTTTTTCCCCCTCGGCATTATTTTTCTGACTACTTGAGGGGGGGGGGGGAAGCAACAAAAACTATATAAGAAACTCGAGAAGAGACTGTGGGATGCAGAACCGCACACGTGGTCCTGCAAATTGGCTAGGAGGGTGGGGGAGGTGGGCAAGAGAGAAGTGAAACTAGAAATTATGGTACAGCTTTAGAATTCGCGAATCCCCCTTATTCTTTCCTAATATATATTGTTTTTGGTTCTTGACAGCTGCATGTATCCAATAAAAGTGGAAGAGGGAAGATAATGGCCTGAACAGTGACGTGTCTAGGGACATAAATGTGCGGAGCAGCTCGGCGGTCGGGATTTTTCCAGGGAAACCTCAAAGAGAGATGCTGTTCCGAGGCTGTTTCTAAGTAGGAGTGGATTATTTCCCCAAGGATTGTGAACAGTTCCTTTGTCCAAATCCAAGATACAGAAATGCATACGCTCTCTGAAACAGGACATTCGAATTTCATTTATTTAGATCTAAAGCCCTCAAAGAATTTGAGATGCAGAGATGAAAAGACTCTTTTTTAATGATATGTTTTCGGTAAACAGGCAGATACGCGAAAGAGGGCGGTTTGCTTCTGGAAGCTGATTCGCTTTCGAATGTGTCTTCTACTTGCTAAAAGTATATATTATTGGAAACAAACTCCAAAGACAAACTTCTGTCAATGTAGATGCATCTTTTGATAAGTAAAATCAAACACAAATTTTCTTTGGAAAGGAAAGAAAAATCAAAGAGCTACCGCTGACATCTCAATCAAGTTAAGATTTAAGAAAAATTAATCCCTCTGTAAGAACGTTGCTTTGTTTTTCTTTTCTAACATGTCTTGAATTAAACAAAACATGTTAACAAGATTGTAACGAAAACTCTGCATCATGTAAACATCCAAAGAAAGAAATTCTAGATTGATTATATTCTGGGACCGCAAAGATTTTATTACTAGATATACTGAAATAGTGGAATAAGAGACGGTGAAAGCTGTAGGACTCTGGGGCAGGGGGGTGTTAGGGAGACTTTGGAAAACTTTCCCCCAATTAAAAAAATACTTCATAAAATGTAAATGCAATAAGTTGAGCTGAATTTTATTTTTCCAGGATTAAAATACGTATTTAGTAGGTTTGGAAAGGCCAATTGCCAATTCATGAACCTATCAGAATAAAATATAAACGCAAATGCCAACGCCTGTGGTTTGTGTAAACTACATAAAATCAAGAGGTTTTTATATTTGGATGGATAATGGACGGATATAAAATGATAGATAAAAATCAGTTGTTACGGCTTTTCATGGATTCCCATGTGCCTATTAATTCCCCTAAGTTTCCAAATTTTTTTCACTTACAAACACTTGTCTAATATTTTAAGCTTTTGAAACTGGGGCAGGCATCACTTCCTGGTTTCACTTCTCAGAAGTACATGGGAAAAGATAACCAAAGAGATACTTCTAAGTGAAGCGCGTCCTTGCCGCTTGACCTCAGGAAACAATGAGAAGTGTTTGGCCATCTCTGCAAGGATGCTGGGTGTGAGGGGAGGAGGCCCGGGCGCTTCAACTGCCGTCCACCGTCCCACTTCCTTACGAAGCTTTGAATAACGCCCATCTAAACACCATTCTTGGGGAAATGGAGGGGAAAGTAGAGAGCTCGTTCGGGTGGGAGAAGTAGGGTGTGGGGGCTATTTTACGACGTCTTGGTGAGGAGGGCTGATCAGGAAGGCCCTCTGGACCGCTCAGACCCACGGAAGGTTAGGTGGGTCTACACTGGGCCTGCCTGTTGAGCGAGCACCTCCGCTGCGGGTCGCTCCCGCGGGTGGTTGCTCTGGCCTCCCGTGCGCCCGCCGCAGCCACGAGCGACCGGGACTGGGAAACCCACTCCCTCCCTAGCGGCGCCTATTACCAGCAGCTGCTTCTGTTTAGCCTGCGAGGATCAGTTTGCCCCAACCCACGGCCTCTCCCTGGGCTCCATCTCCTCCCACCCCTCCCTTCCCTTCCCCGCCTCCCACCAGCTCCGCAGAGGCCGGGCCCGATTGACGCCGTAGCTCAGTCACGCGTGCAGGTTCCGAGCTCCAGGATGGGGGCGCTGGGGGAGGGAGCGCGAGGAATGAGCCAGAAGGACCACGAGGCTTTAAGCCCACCGAGGGAGGTTAGACGAAGGCGCTGCGGTGGTGGGATTAGGAGGCCCAGCCGGCAAGAGCTCCTGGATAGGCTCGCTGCAGACAGCTGCCCTTCCACCCCTGGGCGCGCCGAAGGAGGCGCTGGAGGCATGGACCGGAGAGAGGGGCCCGGTGCCCTGTCCGCCACCTGTAGCGTCGGGGAGATCGAACCCGCGGAGGGGATGCAGACGCGCGGCTGCCTTGGCGCGGGGCCTTCAGGGGCTCGCGAATAGCTGCCCCTGCCGGCGCTGGAGAGTGCGCGCGGTGACCCCCAGGGACACAGCTCGCCGGGTCTCCCCCTCCCTCTTCCTCGCACTTCACTTTCTGCGTGGGCTGAAAACAGGCACCAGGGAAGCGATAGCAGGCGCTCACAAAGTTTCAATGGAAACTGAGACAGGAAAGCCGACGCTGCTCTGGGGGCGCTGCGATGGGCGCGGGGCGCCAGGCTCCCTCCGCTCTGCCGCGCCGGGCGGCGCAGGCTGCAGGCCAGGCCACTGAGGTGTCCCCGGCTCCAGCCAGTGGCGTCGATTTCTCCTGCGAGCGCCAGGGGGGAGTGGGACCCCGGGCCGAGGCAAGAGTCGCATGGTGAGGACAGCCCGCGTCCCTGGCCCCGGGCTGCAAAGGGGCCTAATGCCAGCCTGCTTGCCACAGAGGCCTGTTCTGACACTGAGCATGGTCAGATAGGTAAGGATACACTTCTGAAGAGAGGTTTCACCTAAGCTTGCGGTAGTGTTTTGGAAAACTAGCCTGTCGTGGCTGAGATGAGTTCGATTCCCGCAGCCTCGCATGGTTTTGTTTTGCCGGCTCAGCACGAGGAACAATAGTATCTCGCCTGCCTAGAAGTGACCCAACAGCAAGGGCCTATCGGGTCCTTCTCCCCGCCCACCGCCAAGAGTAGGGGTCTCATCCATCAGCCGAGGGCACACCCATTCGCGCCTGAGTCATATTTGACAGCTGGAAGGGATCTTGGCTGCCCTGTAACGGTCCAACTCCGCGGTTCTGCGGATGAAGAAACTGACATTCCGAGGGGTCGAGTGACCTGCCCAAGATGACACGGCTGTGTGCCCAGCGTCTAGAATAGTGCCTAGCGCGGGGCGAGCCAGCAGTCAATATGTACTCAATCCATGAATGCCAGCCAGGTGGTCGTAGACTCGGGATCCGATTCCAGGTCGGGCTCCTAGAGCACCCCCTTTAACCGAAGTGGAACCACCTGCCAGGGCTTTTCCCGCCCAAACCTGCGCGCTCCAAGGCCTGGGCACAGCGTTCCCAAACCCAGATGCCCTTTGTCAACGGATTCCTGCGATCCAAATCCTTTGCCCTTCTTCACTGGTTTCTTGGAAGCCGCGGTCTCCAGCCCTGCCCCCACCTCGACTTCCATTCCGCAGTTCTCAGGACAGTCCTCTGGTCAGTACCATTTCCTTAGCATCAAAAACTGCCGCAGGCAGAAAATTACGAATAAAGCCTCTGTCCTCAGTCTCCTCTCTCCTTAATAGACACCCCCATTTTTGGGCCGCCTTAATCGCGGCCAAGTACAAACCGTCTGTTTCAAGGCAGGGGTGGGGCTTTTAAAAGCCGCTCTGGGAAGCTTTAGCATCTCTCCTCCCAAACCCCCGCTGCGAATATACAATCTAAGTGGAAAAAAGCGTGCGTGCAGTGCGTCACAGCTTGAAGGCAAGACCCAGCCGCACTCCAAGCCGCACTCCAAGCCAATTGTGGCCCTTAGCTAAAGCCTCGTAGAATTTCGGGGGCCGCCACTACTCCGGGGGAAGCGTGGGACGCCACCCCGGGAAGGAAGGAGGCAAGGCCCGGGAAAGTGCCTAGGAGCCTAGACGCAGAAGCCCGGCCCCGCCGGTCTCTGGTTCTTTCCGCAACGCAGCACACTGGCTGTGCTGGATGCAAAGGACGTCCAGCTCCGGTTTACTGGAGAAACACCTTTACTAAAGCCCTTAGGCAGGTTGTTAACCGCCAGCCAAGAGCTACCTGAAGAAGAGTAGGGCTTTTTCCAGGAAAAGATGGCCTCCCGTAGAAGGCGAATTGCGCAGTTCTTCTGGGGGAGTGGAGAGAGATTTGGGGCATTTTCGAAATTTATATCAACAGCTTAAAAAACTCACTCTGCCAGAAAAAATGTTTGTAAAACTCGACACTCGTTGTGGGGGCACCTGCAGGAAAGGAAGACTCTCGATCCTAACACCGGACTTGGCACATAAACATGCAATGATCCTTGAATGAAGAAGTGTGAGCATTGCGATAATACGGGTAGTGTTCTTTCTTCTGGTGAGCCCTCAGCAGCTACCATCATCGCTGTATCTAAGACTGATGTGGGACCCGAGGAAATGATTTCAATTTCATGATTATCAGCCTATCTATTACAGCTAAGATACAGATAGGGTCTGACATGGGGCTTCCCTCAGACACTGTTGTTAATATTTTCTGGGATTAACTCTGTTCATTGTGATCAGAGAAACACAAATCCATGTTTATATTCACAATTAAGGTATGTAAAGTAACATACAGTTTTTTGACAATGGAAAGAAACTGGCTTCGTTGGAAGAAAAATGTCTGGGAGAGATGCCCCCAGATCTCTTCACAGATAATGTATTCGGGCAGTACTCGATATCTAGGGAAATAATCACTGTCTCAGAGAAATCATAGCAGCAACACTATTCTGATAATGTAACTATCCTTTAAAAAATCCCCTATCCTACTGTTGTACCTGCGTATCCATACAGGAACCCCACATCTTTCCATTTTCTCATATTAGCCAAAGTTCCAGAAAAGATTACAAATCATTCAGGAAAGAAAAAAAAAGAATAATGGCATTTTTGAAAACTGTAGACAAGAGCAAATCTCTCATTTTCCTAAGATTAAGCCTTGCCTTCCCTTTCTGTTGCAATTTAAACCTGAAAAAATATTTATAAGTAATCAAATTCTTGGTGCCACATCTCTCAACAAAGAGATTTTCTTTTGTCTCTGCTATAGAAAACTAAAGGCAAGACATGTTGCAAAAGGGCGTTTTCACTTCACCTTTTAAAGCCCCACACTTTGTCTTCCTAGTCTATTTCCTAATATACCTCAAGCAGACGTGCTGATATGTGAGTTGAAGTAATATTAAGAAAAATCTCCCCTTGGCCAGCCAATCTGTGAAATCTGTGGGGATGCACAGCACTGTTAGTTCCTCCAAGCTCCATCTGTGGGAATGATGAAGCTCAGCCATTATGGGAGATTATGAGGTTAAATTAATTAGGTTCTTCCATTATACAGCAGTCTCCTGGAGATGGTTGCCATTTTCCCTTTAAATGTCATTATTTCTGGATTTAGTTAGCAGCTGATGCAATTAAAGTGGAGATAATGTAAATTTAACAGTACAAATAACACTTTCTTTCGTGTATGTTGAAAAGTGCGTGAAGAGGAGGACCAGCCAAGTTGTACCTGTCTGCCATAAACAACTGATGTAACTCGTACTTTAAAATAAAATAAAAGCAGCCAGTGTGCACTTAGATTCTTCAGTGAATTCTTGAATCAATACTTTTGTTTCATGTTTTCATGTTCTCAGTAATGTTACCGTATCCAGTTACAAACTCTTGCCAGTAAGAAAGAAAATATGCCCTGCTGTGCACCCTTCTAAACACTTTTAAAGAATCATGCTTTCTTTTCATTTGGAATTATGATTCTGATTGTCTGCTCTATCTTTGCAATCTCCAATGGATAATGAGTAGACACACTTAATTCCCTCCACTAATCACCTGACTTGAAAACCAGGTTCACATTAGCAGACCCAATAACATCTCTGATCTTGGACAAAAAGGGCACAGATAGGCACAAAAATAGCATTAATTATGATATTTATTCTGCCACTGCAGAAAAAGATCAGAAGGACCAGTAGGCTAAAGATGTATACAGCAAATATTAAAAACAGATGTATTCCTGTTGCATTACAGAGTAAGAATGTATTATCAATAAGGTGATAGACTGCACATTCCCAATCAAAATAAATGCAACATAATAATTTTTTGATTCTTTTTAGCCCTTCAAGGATTATTTTATTAGCTTTATAGTTAATAACAACCTTGGTAATTCAATATCTAATATATCCAGTACCAATGTTTAAACAGATCACAGATCATAAATAAAAGCCCTTTTGTCTGCAAACAACAGTTGTGTTTTCTTTGCGCCATGTAGTCTCAGCTTTTCTCGGTTTCCTACGAAATAACTAAACGTTTTTAATTGTCTATAAGGGGCATTGCAGGATATGCTTCAGGTTATCAAAGTCACAGCGCGTTTAGGTGTAGGAGATCCAGAAACACCGTTGGCCTTCCAATGCGTTTGTGGATTTTCCTTGACTGGTGGATGTGCATTGCAGGCTGGTATGCGCCGCGTCTTCAATTCAGAGATTTATGCAACGATGTGACGTCGCCACCGCTCCCTCCTCCACCCCGGGGTGCGGGCTTTTGGGCGGGGATCGTACTGGCGCATTTACGGTGGGCTGTGCAGCCTCGACGGATCCCAGGCGAAAACAGCTGGCAGTCAAGGATGCCTACTTGCACAGAGCCCGCGGGTACCCCGGTAACAGTAGGCTCAGGCACCCGTAGACATTGACGGTGCCAAAAGCTGCCTCTGATTCAATATCTTAAACCCTTGTCCTAAATGCCCATGAAAGCTTCT